ATGTCACCAAAAAGAAGTGCTATTTCATAGACCAGGAGAGGAAGAGTTTCGTTTCTTTGGAGCAAAGTTTAAGTCCCTACCTCGTCTTATATCAGCTATGCAAGCGGAGAAGATGTTAAGAAAGGAGTCATGCCAGGGATTCTTGGTTAACATTATCAGTTCTCAACATACAGAAACAACTATTAATGATATTAATATTGTGTGAGACTTTGTAGATGTGTTCCCAGAAGATTTGCCAGGCATTCCACCAGGTAGGCAAGTGGAATTTACAATTGATTTAATTCCTGGAGCAGCGCTAGTATCTAAGGCCCCGTACAGAATGGCACCAAAAGAACTTCAAGAATTGAAGTTGCAATTGGAGGAATTGCTGGAGAAAGGTTTCGTTCGACCGAGTGTATCTCCTTGGGGAGCTCCTGTACTTTTTGTCAAGAAGAAGGATGGGAGTATGAGGTTGTGCATTGACTATCGAGAATTAAACCATCTGACCATCAAAAATAAGTATCCGTTGCCAAGAATAGAAGATTTGTTTGACCAGTTAAGGGGTGCTTCGGTGTTTTCAAAGATCGACTTGAGGTCAGGGTATCATCAACTGAAAATCAGGGCAAGCGATATACCGAAAACTGCTTTCAGGACTCGGTATGGGCATTATGAATTCACTGTGATGCCTTTTGGTTTGACCAATGCTCCAGCTATATTTATGGATCTCATGAACTGAGTGTTCCATCAGTACTTAGATCAGTTTGTCATAGTATTTATTGACGACATACTCGTGTACTCCAAAGATAAGAAGCAGCATGAGGAACAACTCGAATAGTACTTGAGACTTTGAGAAAGGAGAAATTATATGCTAAATTCAAGAAGTGTGAATTTTGGCTTGATCGTGTAGGTTTCCTTGGTCATGTGGTTACCGCCCAAGGAATCGAAGTAGATCCTGCTAAAGTAGAAGCAGTAACAAATTGGCCAAGTTCGACTAGTGTGGGTGAAGTCCGCAGTTTCTTGGGATTGGCTGGCTATTACAGAAGATTCATTGAAGGTTTCTCAAAAATAGCAGGGCTGATGACTCAGTTAACAAGAAAGGGCGTGAAATTTCAGTGGACGGAAAAATGTGAAAAATGTTTTCAAGAACTCGAGCAGAGGCTAGTCTCAGCTCCTGTATTAACGATACCTGAAGGTTCAGAGGGATTTGTGATCTATAGCGATGCCTCAAAGCATGGTTTGGGTTGTGTACTTATGCAGCATGGAAAAGTGGTTGCTTATGCCTCGAGACAGTTGAAGCAGTATGAACAAAACTATCCAACACACGACTTGGAGCTTGCAGCGGTAGTTCACGCCTTAAAGATATGGCGTCATTATCTCTATGGTGGGAAGTGTGAAACTTATACAGACCACAAGAGTCTTAAATACTTCTTCACACAGAAGGAACTGAATATGAGACAAAGGAGATGGTTGGAACTAGTAAAAGATTACGACTGCACGATTCATTACCATCCAGGTAAGGCTAACGTAGTTGCAGATGCCCTAAGCAGAAAGACAGGATCACAGTTGACAGTTCTACCCACAGTGCAGAAACACATGATAAGAGACTTTGAGAAATTGAGATTAGAAGTTATCACGCCACCGACTCAGACTACAGCAAGAGTAAGAGCGTTTATGATTCAGCCTATTCTTCGTGATCGAATCAAGGAGGCACAGAATAAGGATCCATTCCTATAGAAGATAAAGGCTGAGGTTGGCACAAACAGGCGTATGGGATTTGAAATGTCTGCAGATAACGCCCTGACTTTCAAAGGAAGATTATGTGTACCTAAAGATGAAAGTATAAGAAATGAGATACTGGAAGAGGCTCACTCTGCCCCGTATTCAGCACATCCAGGTGGTACGAAAATGTATCGAGATCTCCGAGATACATTTTGGTGGAGAAATATGAAGAGAGGAATTGGTCAATTCATTGAAAAATGTTTTATCTGTCAGCAGGTTAAGGCAGAACACCAAAGACCATCAGGACTACTGAAACTGTTGGATATTCCAGAATGGAAGTGGGAACACATAACGATGGACTTTGTGGTAGGCCTCCCAAAGACTGCAAAAGGTCACAATGCTATCTGGGTAGTGGTTGATTGTTTGACGAAGTCAGCCCATTTTCTACCAATCAAGGTGAACTTCAACATGGAACAGTTTGCACAGCTATACATCAAAGAGATAGTCAGATTGCATGGAGTTCCAGTTACTATTGTTTCAGATAGAGATCCGAGGTTCACGTCTAAATTTTGGAAAAGTTTGCAGACAGCCATGGGGAAGAAACTGAAGTTTAGTACTGCTTATCATCCACAGACAGATGGACAATCAGAAAGAACCATTCAGACCCTTGAGGATATGTTGCGGGCATGTGTTTTGGATCTTGGAGGTAGTTGGGAGACACACCTGCCTTTAGTGGAGTTTGCTTACAATAATAGCTTCCAAGCCACTATAGGTATGGCCCCATACGAAGCTCTTTATGGTAGGAAGTGCAGATCCCCTATCCATTGGGATGAGGTTGGAAAGAACAGAATTTTAGGTCCTGAAATTATTGAACGAACAGTTGGGGCAGTTGAGAAGATTAGAGCCAGAATAAAGACCGCACAGGACCGACAGAAGAGTTATGCAGATCGTAGGAGAAAAGATTTGGAATTTAGTGTGGGCGACAAAATTTTCCTTAAAGTAGCACCCATGAAGGGCGTATTGAGATTTGGCAAGAAGGGAAAGTTGAGACCGCGATTTATTGGACCTTTCGAAATCCTTGAAAGGATTGGCGTTATGGCTTATCGACTTGCCTTCCCCCTGAACTTGCAACAGTGCATAATGTGTTTCATATATCGATGCTCAGAAAATATATTCATGACCCCAATCATGTAATAAGTTATCAGACATTGGATGTACAAAAGGACTTATCATATGAAGAAACCCCGATGATGATTTTGGAGAGAAAGCTACATCAACTCAGAAACAAAGAGGTTTCCTTAGTCAAGATCCAGTGGCGAAATCATGGACTTGATGAGTCAATTTGGGAGAAAGAAGAGGAGCTTAAAGCCAAGTATCCAGAGCTCTTTGAGTAACCAAGGTAAATTTTCGAGGACGAAAATATTTTAAGGAGGGAAGATTGTAGTAACCCAAAATTTCATAGAATAAAATTTGTTTTATGTATGCTAAATTTTAATATTTTAGGGACTAAAATATATACAAAGTAAAAATTAAATTTTATTCGGGTTAAAATGTAGATGTTGACGGAGCGACAATAAGTATATGAAAATTGGTCTCGTTGGAAAGCTCGTATTTAATCATGCATGTTAGGCTCGAGAAAAAGTGGATTTGGATTTATGGAACTTAAATTATTGAGATCGAAAGATTTAGCCTTAAAATATTGTTATGATTATTTTTATTATTATTTTATTTGAGTATGCATTGTGTTGGAAGATTCACGTGGAAGAATTTGGTAGGATTTAATTGGTTAACTAATAATTAAAAAAAAAATATTGAAGAGAGAGATATAAAAAGATATGGCAACCACGTGAGAGAGAGAAGCAGCTTTATTAATATTTCCCTTTTCAATTCGTTTGAGAAGACGCCACGTGTGGAAGTTGCCCCTGAGTGGTTGGTTATTGATAAGACTTAGTCTCCCATTTTGTTTCAAATACAGTTCTCTCCACTTTATCCAATCATCCACTATCTCCCTATATCTCTCACACGTTATCCCATAGAAGTTACTGCATATGTATATGGAATGCACCACACGAAATAGGCACACAAAAATATAAGTGCATTGCTTACAGTTAGAAGAGGCAGAAAAAGAAAAGAAAAGAAGGGAACGTGATTTTGTTTTAACTTCCAAAATTAAAGTAGTTTAATAAGGTAGGATATGAGGTGCAGTATTTTTTTTAATGTCCCGTTTAATTATTATTTTTTTTACATGTTGACGAATTTTATACTTATGAAAGTAAAGTTATGGTATCAATGTATGATTGAATGATATGGCCATTCCGGTACAATGAAATGAAATGAAATGAAATGTTATGATGTGAGCTCTTACCGGATTTTAAAGTTATGCGACGGTATGATATTCTGACACATGTCTTAAAATTATTATTCGGGATTGCACCATTGAAATATGATATCCTACTGAGTATTCCCATGTACTCACCCTTTTCCTACACCTTACAGGTTAGATCGGGTCGTGTCGGAGCGTGATGGTTCGATGGTGTGGTTGTGCCTACTTTTGCTGATGAAAATCTTGATTTCAACGAGTAATTTTATTTCTTGTCATAGTCATTTATTTTTAAAAACTGATTTATCGTTTGTGATTATTTGTTACATGAATATTTTTAAATTATGTTTCTATTTAAAGTCTGAATTAAAATTGTTGGATTTCCTTAGCGTGTTATTTTGCTTTGATCTCCGTGCTTGCATGAACAAAAAATTAGGAATCTCGACTTCTTTAAAATATTTTATTCATTATTTTCGTGTCTGATTTAAGAGTAAGGATCATTTCACTTTAAATGAAATTCGAATTAAATATTACTTTTTCTGCCAATCTCACTGGTCAAGAATTTTCTTCACTGTCAATTTATGGACTGGTGGTCATATCCAAATAAATTATGTCCTGTAGCCTTGTGGTGTAAAGTGTTGAATTTCTTAAATAAATGATTCAGCTTTTGTACTATTCTCTTAATTGGGCAGTGTTCCACACCACACTAATGAAAGACAAAAGCATATCTTTGACTGGGAATTTTGATTATCCTATGTGTATATGGTATCCATCATTGCGTATATTTGGATGTGTTAAATCAAATGAAAAAATAAATAAATTATTTCACACGTATAATGTGAGTTCTGTCTTGAATTTTTAAAGTGCAGATTAATTTTATGTGCCTTTTTTTTATACACGTTAAAGATATAACGTAGAAAAGTAAAAAAATCTTAGTAAAGGTGCTTCCTCTTCATCTCTTAGTTGAAATAGCAAAGTCGTTACAAATGATGGACCAAACAGATTTAATCATAGCTTCACACCCTTAAAACAAGGTAATAGTCACTTATCGGAGGAATATCTTCTCGGCTCTTATCAGAAAGGAGTTCATGTGCAAAGAACGACAAGTACGCTGCAAAAAAATGAAAAACTACTTTCAAATTCTTTTTGACACTGTAACAACAATATTAGATATTTGAAGTGTTCGCTTACGGGTCTTCATACCTTGGGGAAGTTCATACCAAATACAGTCATTACAGCAAAAGTTAAGCAAGAGGTCTACAGCTTTCATCTCTACAAATAAATCTTTACGACTATCGGCAAATGCTCATCCCTGTTTGTTTCATCTCAAACACAAAAACTAAGAGTGATAATCACAACCGTATTTCCAGAAAATTTAATAAAAACCCGGAACTGAATATACTAACACAACCGTATTTCCAGAAGCAAATCACTAAAGAATATTGAAAAAAACACCCATTACAAAGCACGTGCAGATGAAAAAATCATACCTATAGTTATCGGAGAAATCGAGGCCCACCTTCCATCACCGCCTCCAACGATATGATCACTTCCGACTGCTTCGTACTATCACTATTGGCCAAATCAACACATCGAACTTCATCCCTCAAACATTTCTTCGCCACAGCATCACTTACCACGTCCTTCACCTCCGGTGAATCATTAGTTGATGAAGAAGATGCCTATGCCGCCTAAGTCCAACCAACAACCCGAACCTCAAAATCATTCAAAACTCAAACAAAACAGAAGACAAAAATTCCCAAAATTTTAAGAACCATACATTTCACAAAAATAGTAAAGTTTCATGAAGAGAAAGTTAGAGACACATGGATCATTGTGTGGGAAAATGAAGACGTATTAAGATGAAAAGGAAAGAAAGAAATAGCGTGAAGAAGTAAAAATGCTGTCACAAAAGAGATTGTCAGAATGAGGAAAAAGAAAGAAAGGCGTGAAGAAGTAAAAATGCTTACTGTCACAACAGTTTTTTTCTCCAATTCACACGCAAACATTCAATGAAACCATTACAGTGCACAATAATTTATTACAAAATACTGTCCACAAATGTTTTTCACAATAAAAAAATTTCAGGGACACGGTAGCATGGTACGAGTCCATAAAAACAGTGGCCAGAAAAACAGCCTCTTTTGTTGGGAATTGATTTAAACATGCACAGCGGAATTTAACAGATTTCAATTCCCATTCAGGATTCAGCTTTGTATTTAAATAAAAACTGTGATGAGAA